GCTAACTTTGCTTGAGGCGACTTCTGGCGTGGAGGACAGGAAGGTGGGTGGGGAGGCAGTTATTGTTTGGAGGGAGAGTCCCCCTCCATGCAGGAAGCCACAACCACATGTCACAGCAGGGAAAACGGCTGTGGGTCGTGTTCGTCACCCGATGCGGAGTTCGCGAACGGAAGCAAAATTTTGCAAACGGAGCTGTTCGTGAACCGAATTGTTCGTGAACAGAAGCGTTCGTGAACCAAGGTATTACTGTATTGGCAAGGGACTTCCTGAAGGCCAAACACATAAAACTCATTTTGAAGGAAAAGTTAGTGACAACACCCTGGCCCCCAGGCCACTTGATGCCAGCAAGAGCTGTACCCTTCAATGTTTGTTAGTTGTTTGCATGCTTAATAAATGTATGTTGCATCTTCAGAGTGATTTGGTTGTTTTAAGTAAGCCAGGTTTTGGGCAGAACAAGTGGCATCTGAATATCTTTTCCAAGGCCTTCATGGCTGCTCTACCAAATGCTTGTCTGTGGTATATTTCTTGACTGTTTGTTCCAATTATCTTTATATATACAAATTAACTCTGGCCTACAGTACATTAATCATTCCTTTATTTTGTAAGATGTCAAAATGTATTTATTTGAATTTATAAAATATTTTTTGTATAGCTGTTAACATAAAATAATAAAAAAGTTAAGACAACAGTTACACCAACCGGCATGCTGAGTGAACTTAGCTGGTGATGGAGAAATGAAGGTAGAAGATAGCTTCATATTCTTGGGTTCAAAAATAAAGATGGAGAATGTGCTGTAGAAATAAAAAGAAAATTAATCCACGGAAGGAAACAATGGCAAACATAGACAACAACATGAGTGATAATTCTATTATAAGAAAGATTAGAAAAGTTGAAGCAATAGATTTTCTGGTGTTAATATATGGCGGTCAAAGCTGGAGGCTGAGGAAGAGCAAGAAAAAGAAGGCAGGCATCTTCCATTTTTGGATCTGGAGATGGTTAATAAGAGTATCATGGATTGGAAGAAGTAATCAGTTGGTCCTGGACCAAATATAGATTGATGTCTCCCTTGAAGCAATAATCAACAAGCTGAAACTCATACACCTGGACATGGGACACAAGTGGTTGACAAACTAGAAGAAAACATCTCTGCTTGATAAGGCTGAGGAAAGTAGAGGAAAAGAAAGACAATGGATAAGCTCATGAATGGGATCGAAGAAAGTATAGGACTGTCCTTCGTGGAGTTATAAGGTATTACTACAGACAGATTGAGATGGCCAGCATTTGTACATGCAGTCACCAGAAGCTGAGCAACTAACTAACTAGAATCTCCCCAGATACTACTATCAGGCTGCCTGGTTTGTGGATCTCCTTTTCCCCCCTTTAAATACAGATACAAAATTTATTCTCTTCAATGGTCTGGCCCTTCATCCATTCTCCAGGATTTCTCAATGATAAATGAACATAGGTTTGGCCACACTATCAGCAAGATCCTTCAGTCCCCTAGCTTTTCATTTGGTAATTGAAAGTTATTTAAGGTAAATTAATCTTTGCTGGCTATCTTTCCATCCAGCTCAAGCCGCTAGCCTGCTCTTTCAACCTGCTCTTCATCATTGCTACCCTCTTCTTGGAGAAGGCAAAGCCTAAACAAAATCTGAATTGCTCTACCTCTTCTTTGTTCTGTTTTAGCTTTTTGACATCTCCACTAAACAGCTTTTCTTTTTCTGTTAAACATATCTGAAAGAGTTTTCTTTGTTCTAGGCTGAATCCTTTACTAATCTCAGCTGATCCTAAGTAAACAAATTGGACCTGTTTGGCCAACTGTGGCCTTTCCTGGAAAAATATGAACTGGCTACTCATAAATATCCTAGCCACCTCTAGACCATCACTGCAAAACATGCTATGCTTCTGTTCACTCTATACTACTAAGCCATAATGTGATCTATGCTTTTTTGGTTTGGGGAAGCCCAGTCAGCTATGTTCTTTTTTTCAGTAAACCATGCGTAAGCAAACCATGACTTAGTATCTATATGTGTCTGCCTTTACAAACTATTCAGAAATTACTATAAGGCAAATTATAATAATGAGCTACTTATTGCTCTTAATAACAGTGAATACATTTGTTAGTATTACATTGACATCTACTTTGTTCCCAGAGTTCTCTCTGCTACAGTTTAAGACCAGGAAATCTGTGGGATTGTTTGCTTATTTACAGATCTTTGCAATCAGTAAGGTCTTCTTCACTGGTCCTGCTCAGATGCCTCCCTATTTCTATTATGAAGTCATAATTAGGTGGATGAGAAGAAAGAATATGCCTTTAATATAATTAAGAAGAACCTGACAGCAGTAACAGGATTCTGTTATTGCTCCCATTCATTATATATGGGGACATTGTCCACAAACCGAGCTTATCTGGGTGCAATGAGTAAAAGCCACTTTGAAAAGTGGCTATATTCCAGAAAGAGGTGGGCAGAAGGGCAAAAGAGTTAAGAATCATCCTGAGCTAATATTTAACCATTATTTATTTTTTCAATTTCAGTGGAACCACAAAGTCCCCGTTTTGGGGAAGTGTTTCCACATAACACAAAAGGCACAGAGCTTTCCAAGATGGATGAAGAAAAGTTTCCAGATGATTTCCGGACATATAAAGGTAACAACCTATCTTCACATTCAGGATGTGGTGTCTTGCTAACAGTGATATAGATCTATCCTGGAGGATCCCCTCTCTTCTTATCAACCTGGCTCCTTCTCTAAGCTTTTTGAAGCTTCTTTTCTGGATGACTCAGAGGTGTGGTAAGTGGCAACCAGGGAGTAAGACTTGTCAGTGATGGTAACCAACTGAGGTTTTTCTGGTACCTGTCCAGCTACCTTTTCAGGACTGGGCAAAGAT